AACAACGTCATCACCAGCCCCAACACAAATACCACCACCACAAATCCCAAAATCATAACCACTACGAACGCCACCAACACCACTATCAACGACGTCATCAACAGCCCGAAAACCAATACCACCACCACCACCACTCGATGCAGCAATGGCAAAATACTGTCGAATCACCAAAACGCGCTTAGAGGCTTCTCTTAAACATTTTTTAACCTGGTATTCCAGTGCATAACTACGTTCTTGTCAGTTCGATGTTCCCTGGCTGGCGTCACATCGACGTATAAGGTCGAAACTGAAAATGCCGCCGCAGCTCGACAATTCATCTCACATTCGCGCGTGAAATGTAACGCGCAAGCTGGCTTGATGCTCTGTTTCGGTGCACATTTAAGTTTTTGTCAGTTAGGTGTTCCTTGGCTGAACATAAGGCGTCAGATCGACGTATGAGCTCGAAATTGAAAATGCCCAAGGTTTTGACCACGTTCTCGTCCGCACCCAGTCGAAAGTTTACTTCACATTCGCATGTGAAATGTAACATTTTCTTGATGTGCCCTGAAGTCACAACGTGTCAACTCGATCGAATTTTGAACATTGAAATCTGACGGCGCTCTGCGGTCCCTATTCTGCAAGAGAGATAAGCGAATTCTTTTGTTTAATACAGCGATGCCGAAGTAACTGATTCAGCTCAAAAGCGCCTCACAGCTGTCTGTTTAGACCGTGTGAGGTAGGTCAGGGAACGAGGACTCCCTTCATCACCCCACGAAAATGACGGAATAATTTGATACCAATGCTTGTAGTAATTATGCACAGACATAGTGACTTTCGTGGAGAATTGCGCAAACTGTTGAACAGGTGAATTTCAGAAAGCAGTTCAGAAGGAGCAGGTGTGATCGCTGGAGGAATAGGTCTATTGGCCCGACGTTTGGGATTCTCGTTCACCAGAGACAATGGTCCAGCCAATCCGGTGTCCGAGCAAGGATTTTATGGGCTGGCCAAGTGCCTAAATTACTAACCATGCTTAAATTCTACTCTAGCCACTAGCAACCGATGCCCTTATGGTTATCGAGTACGCCGCGCTATTCGATTCCGTTCATTGTGAGCTCTGATTGCAAAAAAGTGGAACTAACTGGTTCCTCTGCGAAAATCTTGACTACTAAGAAGAGTTTGGCAGATTTAAATAATTCATTTGACCCAATTGTGCAAAACCCGGCGGCCACGGTAGAATTCAATCCCACGCCCGCCAGGGAAGGCTTTAGTGCAGCCAACGCTCTAGCTATCGAGGCCCCATCGGAAGCTGTGAGTTTAATTACACCTGGGTCGATTTATCTGCCCGGCCCACTGCACCTTAAGCAATCCACCAATACTGGTACAGGAAACAAATTCAACTACTACTAGCATTCTCTAAAGCTCGCCTGATGATTTCTGAATCTTGATCTGACGCAGATCAAAGCCCACCGGCCTTTGGAGTAGGCGTCAAATCATCCACAGAATTCACGACTACTGCTCTAGGTATTTGAACGCGGTTATTTTGATGGTGGGAATGATAAGACTTTTCGGA